TGCTGACTATCTGTGAGACCTCCCACCCTCTACTGGGGATGGAGCTACTGGTCATGGGCAGGAGGAGCGCTGGCTTGTCATTGTTTTTCTCTGCTGGCCTGTCACTGATCAGTTCTGCTGCCTGGCATCTTCAACTTCTGTGTCTTACGTGCCAGCTTTTGCTCTTCTGGTCAGGGACCTGGTCACTGTAGCACTGCTTTGTGCTCGTAGGCCTTCCCTGGCTAGGCCCAGTGTGGGCTGGTTTGAGGTACTGTGGCTGTGTAGGAGGTTTTGTCTTCTCTGTTTACCATTCTTTGATTCACCAAACATTTTTTCATCCAGGAAGGACCATGAAAAAGCAGAATTTGAGGTCCATGAAGTTTACGCTGTTGATGTTCTTGTCAGCAGTGGAGAGGGAAAGGTGAGTCCAGTGCTTCTTGGCCTGCTGTTCCTCTGTGCGTGTCGTCAAAGCACCCGTGTTTCAGGAGTCATCCTCATCAGGTGGTGCAAGCAGCCACATCCCTGTGAGTGTCAGTTCCAGCCAGGGAATACTTGTTGCCTGGGTGTCACTGCGTCTTTTTGGGTGGAGCTTTTTCCATCCAGAAAGTTGAGATGCACCTTTAGTGTCGGTATAAATGTCCCAGCACGTGCAGGCGGGTGGCTAATCGGGCTGAGGAAGTGCTGCACTGCTTTCCTGGGCTCTCACCGCTGTTTGCATTTTTCAGGCAAAGGATGCTGGACAGAGAACTACAATTTACAAAAGGGACCCCTCCAAACAGTATGGCTTGAAGATGAAAACCTCCCGTGCCTTTTTCAGCGAGGTGGAGAGGCGCTTTGATACTATGCCATTTACTCTCAGGTATTTGCTCTTATTCATGGCTTCCCAGCGTGTTCAGAGCTGGATGCTTTGCGTGAGCTTACAACCCATGCTGACAGCAAAACTGACTTGCTTTCACTGTCCTGTTGCAGAGGAGGTGCCAGCCTTTGCTGCTTTACGTTGGGGTTTGCTGTATTTGAGCCTAGGAGTGGGTGTAGGAAGGATGTCACAGGCTTAAGCAGGAATCCCAGGCAGAGCCTGGGGATTTGAGAATCTCCTGTGCCTCATGTGGCAGGTGGGGAGCTGGGAATTGCATTTAAAATAAAACAGAGAGGGGTGAAAGCAGTGTCAGGGTGCAGTGTGCAGAGGCGAGGCAGTTCCAAACAAATAAGTCATGTACTCAGTCATTTGACAGGATCTTTTAATCCTTAAATCTACTTGCCTTTTCCTTTCTCTGGAGGTAACAGTTCACCCAGCAGTTGCCCGTTCTCGCCATCTGCTCTGTCACTGCACCATGGAGCTGCCAGGGCGAGGGGGACACAAGTGAATAAAGTCTCCAGCCTGACCCTGGGGGCAATTCTGAAACCTGCAGGGTGGAATCTGGCTTCTAGGAAAGGGCCCGGGCTCAAGTGTGGCTCTGTCTCCTCTGCAGGGCATTTGAGGATGAGAAGAAGGCCAGGATGGGGGTGGTGGAATGCGCCAAACACGAGCTGCTCCAGCCTTTCAATGTCCTCTACGAAAAGGAAGGTGAGTGCTGGCGGTGGGAGGTCAGAGCTGCGTGTGGACGGGCGCTCGGCAGACAACTGTCGGTCGCTTCCGGAGTCTGGTGAGACCGGTGCTGACCCTGTCGCTGTATAAATACCAGAGATGCACTTCAAGGTCCCTGGGATTTATCCTCCAGGAAACTCGCTACCCGTTGGCCTCTGGATCCTATTTTGGAATCATTCCAGTGATGAGATGAAGTTTTTTGTGGAGTAATTTCCTGGGCAGGAGGGGAGGTTGATGGCTGAGGCTCTCTGGTTTGCTTACGGAGCAGGCCGGTGGGGTGGTGCTGAAGGATTCGTTTTGCCCTGGCCAGGGCAGGTTTAAGAAATTCCTGTGAGAGGGTTTTTAGCAGTGACAGTGTGGAAAAGGCATAGGAATCAAACAAAATAAAGTCTGTTTGGAAATATCTGCTCAGATACCTGGTGGATTGGATACACGGGGGCTGGGGTGTAGTAACACCCATTTCTGTCTTGCCAGGAGAGTTTGTTGCACAGTTCAAATTCACAGTGCTTTTAATGCCCAACGGTCCAATGAGGATAACCAGCGGCCCCTTTGAGCCGGAACTCTACAAGTCAGAGTTTGAGGTGCAAGACGGAGAACTGAAGGTTGGTTTAAAAATAATAATAATTATAAATAGATCTAGCACGCTGCATGGGTCACCCTGTGTTTGCATCCCTCGGGGTGGAGGTGAGAAGTAAAATCCAGAAGACTCTGCAGGGGAGGGGCTGAGGCGTGAACTTAGAACGGGAAAGATTTGCTGAAGACCAGGTTGGGCCCCGATCTCCTGCATCAAGCACCAGCTCTCGTGGCTTGATAACGACACGTGGCCCGAGGAGTGGGTGAGAAGCCTCCCCAGCTGGCTCCAAGGCCTCATACCTCGGCAGGGCGTGAGGCTGTGGCATTCCCCATCTATCACTGCCCGTTAGGACTTACCACCGTTCCTTCGGTGGCTGGCGGTGCTCGTTCTGCTTCAAAGGCGTTTCCCTTTATCTGCTGTCAAAAAAAAAAAAAAAGGAGTAAAAGGAGTCAGCTTTCTAGCTTATGCTTCCTTCCTGTCTCCAGGCCCTTCTACAAAGTTCTGCAAGCCGGAAGACCCAGAAAAAGAAGAAAAAGAAGGTAATTTGGCCACGTTTTGTGGGGATTAGTGGCACGTTCTCTCTTGCAATCGGCAGCGCCCTAATGTTACCCAGGCCCTGCGTGGTCGTGTTTTGGGCTCGCCTCCCAGCCCACCTGAAAGCATCCCCGGTGTTCCCCTGGCTCGGGATGGGGCCCCCTCTTGGTCCCTCGAGGGGGCTGCGTCGTACCTGCTGCCAGCGTTGTGGCCGTGCCTGGTCCCCGAGCGAGCCCCGGTCTGACCGGCGCCGTGGGTTTGTTTCCACAGGCCTCCAAGAACGCAGAGAACGCCACCACGGGAGAGACGGCGGAAGAGAACGAGGCTGGCGACTGAGTCCCTCCATTAGCGCCCAATTCACACACACTCTTGCCCCTTTTCCCCAAAAAAACAGAAGCAAAATAATCTAGCACTGTTTGTCTCTTACGACCAAACAACAAACAGTCTGGACTTCCCACTGACTACAACCAGCTCCTATTGACTTTGCCAATGAGGGAGGATTCTCTCAGCCACTTCAGACTACTTAAAAAAGAAAGCAGAAAAATAAAATCAGGAGTAAAAGCTAGTCTATATCCACTCTTTCTAACCCTTTATACGACCCATATTTGTTGAAGAGGTGAACAACTAAGCCCATCCCAGTGAGAGGGAGTGTAGAGAGCCCACCTGCTTTCTTCCTCCTCCCTTTTTTTTGATTTCTCCCTTTGCAGATTTTCTTGGAGGAAAAAAAAAAAAAAAACAAACCCAAACCAAACAAACAGCTGATTACGCCCGAGGAAAAGTGCCCTGTGTTTAGTGATATGGTACGCGTGGACGGTGTAAGGTGATCTGCCTCGCTGCACTGTCTCGGCTCCTGGCTGCGTAGGCATTCCTCGCCATTACCTTGGGGCAGAGGATTCCTCACTTTTAGCCTCTAGATTGTACATTTATAATTGGGAAAAATGGCAAATTTTATGTCCCCTGTGAAACCGTAGACTGTTCAGTCTGCTCCGTTCTGTCTCTGCCTTGATCTACGTATAAACGCTCTATTTTTTACTATGCCGCTGTGGCGAGATCATTTTTAAATCGACTGTCCAACTTGCTCGGAAGCAGATGCCATTCCCCACCACCTGACAGCTCTGCGGAGGGGCCGGCGAGCTGCCTGCAGTGGATTTTAATTCCCTGGTGTCCTGGGGAGTTTTATTCTTCCCTGTGGCTGGTTTCCATGGCCCGTGAGCATGTTCCGCTCTCTCACGTGTGTTGGTGGCTCTTGGAAGGGTCTCCCGTCCGCTCCTCTGGCGAGAGGAGGGAAATGCTACAGGAGTTGTCGGACTCAGGCTAGAGTCTGGCTAGGGGTATTGCTCTTTTATAGTAAGTTGGGTTTTTTTTAAAAAAAAAAAAGAAAAAAAAAGAAAAAAGCCGATGGAATTACATGTAGTTGAATGTGAGGTTTTTTTCTTTGCCAATACATGCCGACTGGCTCTCTGGTTATTCCCCTGCTGTAGCTGAATTTGGGAAAAACTCTCGCCTTTAAAAACACTCCCGGGCATCTCCGCAGGCACCGTGCTTCCTTGTCAAGATCTGGGTTTTCCATCCCGAACTCCACACGTGCAAATATTACCAAAGTCAATAAAAGAGAATAAATTGATGCGCTTTTTTTTTTTTTTTTTTCCTGAATTTTTCCATCTTTGCTCCTGTTCTCAAACTCTTCCGGCGGGGCCCTGGGGCAGTCGCAGAGCCGAGGGGCCGGGGATGGACGCGGGGTCCTCACCCAGCGCTGGCTGGAGCTGCTGGTGTCTGCTCTGGGCAGCTCAGACGTCTTAACCCTGACCTTGAGGGGGGAAAAAAAAAAGCACCTTGCTCCCCAGGAGAAACGTTAGCGTTTTTAAGCAATACTCTGCCCTCTGTGGAAGAAGGGTAGAGCTAATCTTTCTCATAGTCCACGATCAGATTTATAAACCACCGAGACTTGCTGGAGGTTTATTTAATTTTCTTTTTTTAGAGAAAAAAAAGCAATCAAACCTGTACCTCTTGATACAAGAAACAAAAATCCCGTTATTAGAAAATTTTGATGAGCAGAAACTCCCAAGAACAACTCTCTGACTTTTTTTTTTTTTTTTTTTGAATAAACTTAACTGTTGAACTCTCTCGGCCGGCGGAACGGCTCGGCGCTGTGGGGCGGCGGGGACACCCCCTGCCCCCCTCCGGGCCCGGGGTTGCGCAAAATGGCCGCCGGCGGGCGGACTACAGCTCCCGTGATGGCCCGGGGGCGGGGACTACAGCTCCCGTCGTGCTCCGCGCCGCGGGGGGGGGTGGGAACACGGTCGTCACCCTATAAATAGGCCCCGGCGGGCACTCGGGCCCCTCTCGGCTGCCGCTGCCGCCATCTTGCGGGCCCCGCCGCCGTTCGCCTGCATCCGCCGCCATCCGCCGCCCCCGCCGCCGTCCGCCCGCCGGGACTGAGCGCGGCGCCTCCGTGCCGCCATGAGGGCTAAGGTGAGCGGCGGGGGGGGTCGCAGGGGCTGCCGATGGAGCCTTATTCCATCCCCCGTCCCGTCCCCCCCCCCCCCCGGGAGGACCCCGGTAACGGCGAGGCGGGCGGGGATGGGACCCCGGGGGGGGGGGGTGTGGGGTGGTGAGAGGTGTCCCGGGGGGGCTCTGTCGCACCGGGACGTGGGGAGCGGCTGGGGGGGGGGGGAAGGTCGGGGACACGGAAGGGGAGGGCGAGGTCGGGGGTCTCCGGTTGTCAGCGGGGATGGCGGGGACACACCGGGACCCCCAGGTACCGGCACTAACGGCGGTTTGTCCCCTCTCCCGCAGTGGCGCAAGAAGCGAATGCGCAGGTACGTGGGGTCCCCACGGGGAGCGGTGTGTGGGGGGGGGGGGACACCGGGCCCCGGCCGCCGACGCGTCCCGGGGCCTGAGCGCCGGTGTCTCCCCCCAGACTGAAGCGCAAGAGGAGGAAGATGAGGCAGAGGTCCAAGTAGGCCCCGCCGCGGAGCCGCCGCCGCCGCCGGGGACACGTCCCGGTGCCGCGGGGAGGAGGGGGCCCCGTGCTGCGGGGCGGGGGGGGGGGGGACCCGCTGCGCCGGGCCGGGTGTGCGCTTCGCGGTGGTCGTTGTGCCGCGAATAAAGCTGTTGGTATTGGAACGCGGTGTGGTGTCTCCGGGAGCAGCGGGGACCGGGGCGGGGGCGGAATCCACCGGGGGAGGGAGGGAGGGAGGGGACGGGATCCTCCGGTACCGGGGGGCGGGGAGAGAATCCAGCGGTCAGCGGAGAGGTGGGACGCCGTTACCGGGGATGGGGTGGGAGGTGGGGGGGGGCCAGGCCGGGCCCCGTGCTGGCGGAACGAACCCGCCGGTAGCGTCGAGGTAGAGGCGCACACGCGTGACGTCACAGTTGCGGCATCCGTCAACGCGCCGGGAGGAAAAAGTGCTCCTCTCTTCCGGGTCGCCCCGGAAGCAACCATAGAGTGCTTCCTGCCCGGCGCAGAGCGGCGGCCGGAAGGGGCCGCTCATTGTTGGCGCTGGAGGACCCGCGAGGAGGCCGCGAGCGGGTGAGTGCGGGCCCGGCGGCTCCGGGGCACCGGGAACTGCTCCGCTCCTCGCGCCCCGCGGTTGCCATGGAGACCCGCCGGGGAAGGGAGGGGCCGCGCCCGCTCCGCGCTCTCTCGGTGCGCCGCGCCGGGGCTCGGCCCGGCGGAGCCGCCGCGGGGTGACCCCGCCGGTACCGGCGGCCCCGAGGAGGGGCCGTGAGGGGCTGCCCGGTGCCGGTGTTCCCCCCCCTCCCAGGCGCGTGGGGCCGCGGCCGCGCTGCTCCCGGGAGGCTCCAGTGCCTTGGGGCGGGAGTTTCCCGTGTCCGTCCCCCCTCTTCCTCCTCCTCCTCACCCCCCCCCCGTTCCTCCCGCAGTTCCCGGAGCCCCGCGGCGGCGGCGGCGGCGGCAAAAATGCCCGACCGCGACAGCTACAACAACGGCAGCAGCGGCGATGAGGTGGGAGCCAACGCCGACGACATCTGCCGCGACTTCCTGCGCAACGTCTGCAAACGGGGGAAACGCTGCCGGTTCCGGCACCCCGACATCAGCGAGGTCACCAACCTGGGCGTCCGCAAGAACGAGTTCATCTTCTGCCACGACTTCCAGAACAAGGAGTGCGTCCGCCTCAACTGCCGCTTCATCCACGGCACCAAGGAGGACGAGGACTGCTACAAGAAGACGGGGGAGCTGCCCCCGCGCCTGCGGCAGAAGGTGGCCGCCGGGCTGGGCCTTTCGCCCGCCGACTTGCCCAACAGCAAGGAGGAGGTGCCCATCTGCAGGGACTTCTTGAAGGGCGACTGCCAGCGCGGCGCCAAGTGCAAGTTCCAGCACCTGCAGCGGGACTACGAGTACGAGGCGCGGGGCATGGCGGCCCGCGAGCAGGGCATCGTCCCCGCCGTCCGCCGCTACGACCCCTACGACGCCATCTACGACCCCGACCGCTACGACGACCACGACCCCGTGCTGAAGCGGCGGCGGGTGGACGGGCTGCACTTCGAAACCTACGAGTACAGCTTTGCCAGCCCGCGGACGGTGGAGTACCGGCTGCTGGAGGAGGAGAACATCATGCTGCGCAAGCGCGTGGAGGATCTCAAGAAGCAGGTGAACAACCTCCTGGCCACCAACGAGGTGCTGCTGGAGCAGAACGCCCAGTTCCGCAACCAGGCCAAGGTGATGACGCTGAGCTCCACCGCCACCGCCACCGAGCAGACTCTGGCCCCCACCGTGGGCACCGTCACCAACTACAACCACAGCATCGCCCAGACCCACACCACGCTCAGCAGCCAAGCCCTCCAGCCCCGGCCCGTTTCCCAACAGGATTTGGTGGCTCCCGCCGGAGCCCAGGCGGCCCCCCCCGCCAACGCCGCTCCCCCCATGAACCCCGAAATCACCCCGCTCTCGGCTGCCCTGGCGCAGACCATCGCGCAGGGCATGGCCCCCCCGGTCTCGATGGCGCCGGTGGCCGTCTCGGTGGCGCCGGTGGCCGTCTCGATGGCGCAGCCGCTGGGGGGGATCACCATGAGCCACGCCACCACCCCCATGGTGACGTACCCCATCGCCTCCCAGAGCATGAGGATAACGGCCATGCCCCACTGACCCCCCCCCGGCTGGGGGAGCTGGACTGTGACACATTCCGCCCCCCCCCTCCTGCAAAACTGAGCCCCTGGGGGACGCGGGAGGAGGAGGAGGAGGAGGAAGGGCAGACCCTCCTCAGCGTGAGGATGGGGGCAGCTCTTGTTTGGGGCAGGGGGGTGCGCTGACACCCCCTCCACCCCAGCAGGGGCTTTGCGCCTCAGTCTGCACCCTACGTGGGGTGAGGGGGGGGGTGTTGGTGAAACCTCCGGCAGGGGGGTGGTGGTTAGGGGCTGCTCCCCCCGTATGGACACAGCCCCCAGCCCACCCACCGCAACCCCCCCCCCCCCGTGCCGGTGTGTCCCGGTGTGTGTGGGGGGGGCAGCACTGGGGCCAGGCCGCCCCCTCCCCGCGTGCCCTGTAACGTTTTCAACTATTAAAAAAAAACCCAAAAAGTCAACGGCGATCGCTCTCCCGCCGCGCACCCCCCCCCCCCGCCCCAAAACGCGACCCCCGGGGGGGGGGTGGGTGGTGGGAGGAGCGGCTGATGGGACGGGGAAGGGGTGTGTGGGGGGGGGGGGCGGGACACGTGACACCCCCCCTCATCCACGCCCACCACCGCCCTTCGCCACGCCCCTCCGCGCAGAACGCGCTGCCGCGGGGGCGGGGCGTGGCCCGGCGGAGCCCCGCCTCTTTCGCCGCGGCGGCCAATGGGCGCCGGGGCGTGGCGCGGCGGCGGAGCGGCAGGCGGCGGCGGCGGCGGCGGCGGCGGCGGCGGGATGGAGCGTCGGGGCGCGGGACTGGCGGCGCTGGGAGCGCTGGGCCGGCGGCTGCTCTGGGCCCTGCCCGCTTACGCCGCCGGGCTGCTGGGGCTGGGCGCGGGCGCGCTGGTGCTGGCGCTGGCGCTGTACGCGGGGTGGCGGCGGCGGCGGCGGGCCCGGGAGCTGGGGCTGCAGCGGGCCGCCCGCCTGCAGCGCGACGAGGAGGCGGCCGTACGCGCCGCCGCCGCCGCCGCCGGGCTGGGCGCGGCCCGCGGGGAGCTGCCGGCCTGGGTAAGCGGGGAGCGACGGCCGTTATCCCCGGCGGCGGGGCCGTCCCTTGCCCCTGTCAGCGCAGCGCCCGGCTGCGGGGTGGGAGCTCCGCCCCCCTTCTTCCCCACCCCGGCCCCGGGACCCCCGGGTCGGGGTGACCCCATCGGCTGCTCCGCGGCCCCCGCTTGGGCTTCCTGGGATCCCCGGGACTGCGCTCACGCCCCCTCCGCCATGCGCCGCTTGGGCTTCCCCCGGCTGGGCGGGACCCCCCTGCCCGGGACCCCCACACACCCCGTGCCCGGGACCCCCCATCCGTCCGTGCCCGCATCCCCCCGTTTCCTCACCCCCTCCCCTTCCCGGGAGCCCCCCCCCCCCCCCCCGTGCTCGCACACCTCCGTTCCCGGGACCCCACCCCACTGAGGATTCCCCGTGGCCACTGAGATGCTGCATCACACCCGGGGCCCTCCCCCTTCTGCTCGACCCCCCAATGGGGTGACCCCCTCCAGCCCCCCCCTCCCAATCTCCCCCGCTCCCGGGTACCGCCCCGGGGCCTTCCGGCAGTGCAGAGCCCGGGCTGTGACTCACCGGGCCCGGGGGGGCCGTTTCCTGCCCGGCCGAGAGCTGGGGTGGGGGGGGGGGCCGTGGTGCAGGGGGGGCCAGGACCCCCTTTCTCGAGACCCTCTCCCCACCACCGGGACCCCCGGGAACGGCCGCAATGGAGCCGAAGCTGCTGCCAGATGTTGGTCCCAGCTGCTGGGGGGAGGGATGACACCGGCAGCTCCCACCAGCCCCGTTGGGGAAACTGAGGCCCACGGCTGGGTGGGGCTGCCCCCCACCGTGTCCGGCCAGACACACCCCCCCCCCCCCCCGGCCTCACGCTTCCCCCAGCCCCTCTGCCCCCAGGTGAGCTTCCCAGATGTGGAGCGGGCGGAATGGCTGAACAAGGTGAGGTGGCCGTCTGTCCCCCCATCCCTCCCTCCCCACTGCGTCTGTCCCTCTGTCCCCCCGTCCATCCGTCCCGCTGCTGGCAGGTCCTGGCCCAGGCCTGGCCCTTCTTCGGGCAGTACATGGAGAAGCTGCTGGTGGAGAACGTCGCCCCGTCCATCCGGGCCTCCAACAGCCACCTCCAGACCTTCACCTTCACCAAGGTGGACATGGGCGAGAAGGTAGGGCTCCCCTCGGGGGCGGGGGTGACCCCATCTCCCTCAGTGCACCCCCAATCATGGCTCCCCCCGACTTCAACAGCCCCTCCGGGTCCTGGGGGTCAGGGCTCACCCCGGCGCCCACAAGAAGCAGATCTTGCTGGACCTCAACATCAGGTGAGCGGCCGGAGCCACCCGTGTGGCGAAGGCACCAGGTCTCAGCTCCCCACGCTGGGGTCTCCCTCTGTGCAGCAGCTGCTGGAGCTCCCCCTCACTCGGGGAGGGACGGGGGGGACTGTGGGGTGTCGTGGTGAGGACCCCCCCCATCCCTGCATCCCACCGCTGCAGCTACGTGGGTGACGTCCAGATCGATGTGGAGGTGAAGAAGTTCTTCTGCAAGGCGGGGGTGAAAGGCATGCAGGTGAAGGTTCTCTGCCCTAGCTGGGGGCTTTAGGGGGACAGTGGGGAGCTGGCGGGGTGGGGGGTCATGGCCGTGGGAGGGGGTCACGTCTCAATGCTCTCCCCCCAGCTCCACGGGATGCTACGGATCATCCTGGAGCCCCTCCTCGGGGACGTGCCCATCGTGGGGGCCCTCACCATGTTCTTCATCCGGCGCCCTGTGAGTGGCCCCCCCCTCCCCGGCTCCCCCACTTGCAGGATGTGGCCGGGCTCCAGCCCCCCCATCTGACCCCATTCCCCCCCACCCCCAGACTTTGGACATCAACTGGACGGGGATGACCAACCTGCTGGACATCCCGGGGCTGAGGTAAGCCCCAATTTGGCCGTGGGGTCTTCCTGGACCCCCCAGGACCGTGTCCCCTCCCCGTGACCGTCACACCCCCACACACACCCCCCCCCCAGCTCCGTATCGGACACGATGATCATGGACGCCATCTCCTCCTACCTCGTCCTGCCCAACCGCCTCCTGGTCCCGCTGGTGCCCGACCTGCACGAGGCTGCTCAGCTCCGCTGCCCCCTGCCCCGGGTAAGGGGGGTCCTGGGGGTGGGGGGGGCACCCTGCACTGGCTCCCCCACCCCTGGCTGACACACACACACACACACACCCCCCCACCTCGGCAGGGTGTGGTGCGGGTGCACCTCCGGGGTGCCCGGGACCTGCGGTCGAAGGATCGGTTCATGAGGGGGCTGGTGGAGGGCAAGTCGGACCCCTACGCCGTCCTGCGCGTCGGCACCCAGGTCGTCACCAGCCGCGTCATCGACAACAACCTCAACCCCACCTGGGACGAGGTCTACGAGGTGAAACACACCCCCCCCCCCCCCCAAAACCTGGCCCCAAGGACCCCCCCAGACCCCCCTCGTGGCCTCCCCAGACCAGCTGAGGTTGTGGGGGGGACACAGCGTCCCCAGCCGGGTGGTGGGGGCAAGAGCACCCCAACCCAGCTGGGTTGGGCGTGGGGATCCCCATGACATCCCCAGCCTGGCTGTACTGGGCGCGGGGGGGACCCCCCCCGGTGAGTGTGTGTGTCGCCCCTCCACTGGCCCTGTCCCCCAGTTCATCGTGCACGAGGTGCCCGGGCAGGAGATAGAGGTGGAGCTATTCGACAAGGACCCCGACCAGGACGACCTCCTGGGCAGGTACGGCGGGGCTGGACCCCCAGGCTGGCAGCTGGGGGGGTGCACTGACCCTCCCGCCCCATATCTCACGGCCTCTTCCCTCTCCCAGGATGAAGCTGGATTTTGGGGAGGTGCTGAAGGCCCGGGTGCTGGAGGAGGTGGGTGCTGGAGGAGGTGGGTGCTGGGGTGGGGGGGCCAGGGGGGCCGTGCTGACCCCTCTGCCCCGCAGTGGTTCCCGCTGCAGGAGGGGGGCCAGGGGCGGCTCCACCTGCGCCTGGAGTGGCTCTCGCTCATGGCCGACACCTCCAAACTGGACCAGGTAAGCGGAGCTATTCCAGAGATGAGTTTGCTGGGTCTCAGCCCAGTTTGGGAGGGGGGACACACGTCTGTCCCAGCCGACCCCCCCACCTCTGGGTTGCGTCCCCCAGGTTTTGGAGAGGAACCGGACGATCGTGGCCAAACCCGACCCCCCGTCAGCTGCCATCCTGGTCGTGTACCTGGACCGGGCTGAGGAGCTGCCGGTGAGTGGGGGGCCAGGGGGGCCCAGGGCTGCCAGTTCCCTGCCCTGTGGGGCCCCCCCCCCGCCCCGACCCCCCCCATTTCTGTGCAGATGAAGAAGCCAGGCAAGGAGCCCAACCCCATGGTTCAGGTCTCGGTGCAGGATGTCACACGGGAGAGCAAGGTGGGCTGGGGGGGGCCGGGGGGACCCCGCAGAGGTGGGGTTGGGGTGCAGGGCCCCACCCGGCTGGTGGGGGGGTCTAACCCCACTCCCCCCCAGGTCATCTATAACACGTCTGCTCCTGTCTGGGAAGACGCTTTCCGCTTCTTCCTGCACGACCCCAAGAACCAGGACTTGGACATCCAGGCGAGACCCCAGACCCCATGTCCCCCCACACCCCCTGAGATCCCCCCCATTTCCCCCTATATCCCCCCAAATCCCTGTCCCCATTTCCCCTTCCAAATCCTCCAACCCCTTTCCTTCTCCCCCCTTCTTTTCTTTCCTTCTCCCCCCTTCTTTTCTTTCCTTCTCCCCCCTTCTTTTCTTTCCTTCTCCCCCCTTCTTTTCTTTCCTTCTCCCCCCTTCTTTTCTTTCCTTCTCCCCCCTTCTTTTCTTTCCTTCTCCCCCCTTCTTTTCTTTCCTTCTCCCCCCTTCTTTTCTTTCCTTCTCCCCCCTTCTTTTCTTTCCTTCTCCCCCCTTCTTTTCTTTCCTTCTCCCCCCTTCTTTTCTTTCCTTCTCCCCCCTTCTTTTCTTTCCTTCTCCCCCCTTCTTTTCTTTCCTTCTCCCCCCTTCTTTTCTTTCCTTCTCCCCCCTTCTTTTCTTTCCTTCTCCCCCCTTCTTTTCTTTCCTTCTCCCCCCTTCTTTTCTTTCCTTCTCCCCCCTTCTTTTCTTTCCTTCTCCCCCCTTCTTTTCTTTCCTTCTCCCCCCTTCTTTTCTTTCCTTCTCCCCCCTTCTTTTCTTTCCTTCTCCCCCTTCTTTTCTTTCCTTCTCCCCCCTTCTTTTCTTTCCTTCTCCCCCCTTCTTTTCTTTCCTTCTCCCCCCTTCTTTTCTTTCCTTCTCCCCCCTTCTTTTCTTTCCTTCTCCCCCCTTCTTTTCTTTCCTTCTCCCCCCTTCTTTCTCTCCCCCCCCAATCCCCAGTGCCCCGTTTCCCCAGATGCCCATGACTCCCCCCCGGGCCCCCCCAGGTGAAGGATGACCCCCGCCAGAGCAGCCTGGGCTCCCTCTCGCTGCCCCTCGCCCGCCTGCTCGACGCCCCGGAGCTGACACTGGACCAGCCCTTCCAGCTCCAGCACTCGGGGCCCGGCAGCCGCCTCTACATGAAGCTGGTGCTGCGGGTGAGAAGGGGGGTCAGGGGAGCCGGGGGCGGGGAGGGCCCTGCCCCTGTCACCCCCTCCCTCTGACCCCCCAACCCTGCAGGTGCTCTTCTTTGATGCCCCTGAGAACGGCGGCCCCCCACCCAGCCCCCCAGGGCAGCCGGACCCCTCGGCCAGCACTGGTGGCATTCACCGGCCCACCCACGCTAGCCCAGACCCCCAGTTTGGCACCGAGGTGGGGAAGGGATGGGGGGGCATCACCAGGGAGGTTGGGGGGGCTTGGAGGTGGGGGGGGAGCTGCTGAGGGGAACAGTGTGGGGAGCTGGGAGGGAGTGATGTGGGATGGGGGGTCCTGGGGGCAGGTTGGAGGGTCCTGGGAGGGCAGGAGAGAACTCAAGGACAGGATGGGGGGTTCTGGGGTGCAGTAGAGAGTTCAGGGGCTTGGGGGGTTCCTGGGGGACAGGACGAAGAGGGTTCAGGGGCTGGGGGGACTGCAGAGCAGGATGCAGGGTCCTGGGGTGCAAGAGAGAGCTCGGGGGCAGGATGGGGGGTCCTGGGGGGCAGGAGAGAACTCAGGGACAGGAGGGGGAGTTCTGGGGTGCAACAGGGAGCTCAGGGGCAGGATGAGGGGGTCCTGGGGTGCAGGAGAGAGTTCAGGGGCTTGGGGGGTCCTGAGTGGGAAGGGGAGTGGGGGCCCGGCAGCCCCGGTGCCAGCGCCCGGCGTGTCCCCATGTCCCCAGCACGTGCTGCGGATCCACCTCCTGGAGGCCCAGAGCCTGGTGGCCAAAGACAACTTCTTCGGGGGGGCGGTGCGGGGGCGCTCGGACCCCTACGCCAGGGTGCGGGTGGCCGGGAGGGGCTTCCGCAGCCGCGTGGTCAAGGAGGACCTGAACCCCCGCTGGAACGAGATCTACGAGGTACCGTGGGGGGGGCCCCCCGCGCCCCCGCCCCGCACATCATCCCGGGGGCTGAGGGTGTGCCGTGTCTGGGGGGTGGGGAGGGGGGCAGGCCCGTTTCTCACACCCTCAGGAGGGGAAACTGAGGCAGGGGGTCTGCGAGGGGACCCTGGCGCCTGGGGGTGTCCCCACCGGTGACGCCTCTCCCTGCCCAGGTGATCGTGGACGATGTCCCGGGGCAGGACGTGGAGTTCGATCTCTTCGACAAGGACATTGATAAGGATGACTTTCTGGGCCGGTGGGTGCTGGGGGGGGTACGGGGGGGGGGGGGGGTGTTTGGAGTGGGGGGTGGCCCCCACCCAGCCCTCACCAACCCACCCTCAACCCCCCCAAGGTGCAAGGTGCCACTGAGGCGGGTGCTGAGCAGCCGCATCGTGGATGAGGTAGGAGAGGGGCTGGGGGGGGTCTGAACCAGCGGGGGGGGGGGGTGTTGTCTGCACCTGGGGGGGTCTCACCCGCCCTCCCCGTCCCACCAGTGGCTGCCCCTGGAGGAGGTGAAATCGGGGCGGCTGCACGTGCGGCTGGAGAGCCTGACCCCCAGCCCCCGCGCCGCCCTCCTCGAGCAGGTAACAGCCCCCCGCCCCGGTTTGTGGGGGGCGTGAGGAGGGGCAGGCACAGCTGGCCCCGAGCTTCTGCCCTGTCCCCGTCCCCCTCCCTCTGTCCCCATCCCTGTCCCCGTGCACCCCAACCCCACGCCGGGACTCCCAGCCCCACCTTGTCCCCCCCGTCCCCCCCCCCCCCCCAGGTCCTGCACACCAACAGCCTCCTCCAGCCCACCCGGGGCGAGGAGCTCTCGGCCGCTCTCCTCTCCGTCTTCGTGGACCGAGCCGCCGACCTCCCGGTGAGCAGCTGCCCCCCCCGCCGGGGTCCCCTTGGCCCTGCCCTGGGCACCCCCCATCATCCTCCTCCTCCTCCTCCTCTTCCTCGTCCCCAACCCGCCGTCCCCCCAGCTCCGCAAGGGCTCCAAGCCACCCGCCGCCTTTGCCAGCCTGGCCATGCGCGACGTCTCCTTCAAGACCAAGGTGAGACGCGGTGGGGGGGGCCGGGGGGGGGCAGGTGAGGGGAGATGAGGCGGGGGGGGGGGGGGGAGCGGTTCCCTCACCCACTCTCCTGCCCCCAGACCTGCGCCCCGACCGCCGAGCCCGTGTGGGACGAAGGCTTCTCCTTCCTCGTCAAGCGGCCCCACGTGGAGTCACTGGAACTGCAGGTCTGTCCCCAGTCCGGGGGTCCCGTCCCCAATCCGGGGGTCCCGTCCCCAGTCCGGGGGTGCTGAGCCCGCCTGTGCCCGCAGGTGAAGGAGGAGGGGGGGCAGCCCCTGGGTGCCCTCAGCCTGCCCCTGCCCCAGCTCCTGGCCTCCGAGGGGCTGGCGCTGGACGGCTGGTTCCCCCTGGCCGGGGGGGGCCCCGGCAGCCAGATCCTGCTGCGAGTGCAGCTGGGGGTGAGTGACGGGATGGGGGAGTCGGGGGGGTGGGTGGTGGGTGCTGAGCCCTCCCTCACCCCCCCACTCGCCCCCCCCCCCCAGATCCTGGTGTCACAGCAGGCGGAGGTGGGGGCCGGCAGTGTGTCCCCGGCCGGGGGGGACGCTGCCCCCCAGCCTACGGAGGCGCCGGGGGAGGAGGAGCGTGGGGCTGGGGGGCTGCGCCAGCGCCTGCTCCCTGCTGACAGGTAGGGCTGGGGGGGCACGACCCCCGCCCCCCCCCCCCCCCCAGGAGCATCCAGTCCCCGTCCCCTTGTCTGCTCCAGCTGCAAACCCCCAGCCAGACCTGGGGGGGGGGGTGTCTGGGTCCGAGACCCCAGGGATGAGCCCCCACCCTCCATGCTGGGGGGTCTGGGGGGACCCTGACCCTGTGCTCCCCCAGCCCCCCGGAGCAGGAGGAGGGTCCCCTGGGCCGGCTGCAGCTCACGCTCTGGTACCACGGGGACGAGCGTAAACTGGTGGCCATCGTCCACGCATGCAGGTGAGGCTGCCTGGAGGGGGGGCCGGGTGTGGGGGGGTCAGGGCTGGGACACCCCCCCCCCCCCCCGAGCCCTCTGTGTGTGTGTGTGTGTGTGTCCCCAGGAAGCTGAGGCCGGTGTCGAAGGAGCTGCCCGACCCCTACGTATCCCTGGTGCTGCTGCCCGACCGCAGCCGCGGCACCAAGAGGAAGACCAGCGTGCAGAAAAAGACCCTCAACCCCGACTTCAACGAGAGGTGGGGGGGGGGGACGGGGGGGGGGGACGGGGGGGGGGCACGCACACCGGCCCGGTGCTGCCCAGTACAGGCCAGTACAGCCTCGTCTCCTCAGGTTCGAGTGGGACATATCCCTTGAGGAAGCCTCGCGGCGCAAGCTGGAAGCTCACGTCAAATCCACCCTGTCCTTCATGTCGCGGGAGAAGGAGGCGCTGGGGAAGGTGAGGGGGTCTGGGGGGGCCGGGGGGGGGGTGTTGGGGGGGGCTGGGGAGCCCCTCTTGAGCCTTTGTTCTCCCCCAGATCCATCTGGACCTGGCGCAGGTGGATCTGTCTGAGGGGGGAACCCACTGGTGAGTGGGGCTGGGCTGGGGTGGGGGTGGGGGGGGGGTGTCTGGGGGATCCCCGTGGGTTTCTCTGGGGGGTGTGTGTCATCCCCCGCCCTGTGCCCCCTCCCCTCTCTCCCCCCCCCACAGGTATGATCTGCGGGACGAGCGGAGCAGCCCCTAGAGCTGGGGTCCCCCCCCATTCCCTGCCGTGCCTGGGGCAGTGGGGAGGCTGGGAGGGGGCCGTGCTCCCCCCCTGGCTGCTCCTGCTGCCCCCCCCCACCGCCCCCCCGCCTCGCCACTGACCAAAGACGCACCAGGCGGGGGCCAGGCTGGGCCCCCCCCCCGTGCCCCCCCTAGACTGTTACATACCTCGTGCCTTTCGCCCACCGAGGAGCCTCCTGGCGCGGGGGGGGGCCCGGCCTGGGGTTATGCCCCCCCCCCCCCGCCCCGACCCCCCCGGGGAGATGCTTTTGTTAGAGCCGCTGTCACCGACGCCATGCCACCGCCGTGCCACCGCCACGCCGACCCCCTCGCTGCCTTCCCGGGGCTGCGTCCCCGTGTCGTCCCCCCCCCCACACTAATAAAGGAGGGAGGAGACTGTGGCGGCTTCGTGTGGTCCTGGGGGTCCCGGGGTGGGGGGGACCCTGGGCTCTGCAGTGACCCCCTGCTGACAGGGTGTCCTTCGGGGGCGTCCCTCGTGGGGCGCTCCCCATCTTGGTGTCCCCCCATGGGCGATGTTGACCCCCCCCCCCCCCCACTGTGGGGTGTCCCCATCATGGTGTCCCCTCATGGGATGCCACCCACGGGGTGTGGCCATCAGTGTTCCCCCGGGGGGATGCCAGTCATGGGGGGGAGAGGGGGGGAGGGTCCCTCCTCAGGTGTCCCCATTGTCACCTCCCCGTGGGGTGTGGCCCTGGGGCTGCCCACGCGTGGGGGCGTCCCCATCACGGTGCCCCCCCTCCCCCCAGGGTGTCCTGGCGCGGGATGCTCCCTTGGGCGCTGTCCCCCGTGGGGTGCCCGCCGTGGGGTGTGGCCGTTGGGGTGTGGCCCGGGGGATGCCATCACGGGGGTGCACGTGGTGACGTCACCCCTGGGGGTTTCCCCCATCGCGAGGGGTGCCCCCCCCCCACCCCCCCGGCCCAGCTCTGTGCCCATCTATAGACAAAAACATCCTTAGGGATGAGGGGCGCGGCCTCGCCTCTCCCCGCCCCCTCATGCATAATGATGCGCCTAATTAGCGCGCGGTGACGCAGCCGGCGCGCGGCCAATGGGCGGTCGGTGACGCCGGTCGGTAGAAAGAGCCCAGAGCGCGGAGCGGGGACGGGGAGCGGCCGCCGCCATGGTGGGAACCGGGAGCGGGGAACCGGCACCGGGATCGGGCACCGGCACCGGCTGCCGCGGGCGGGGGGGATGCGCGGGCGGATGCGCGGGCGGGGGGGGGGGCCGGAGAGGGGCGGGACGGGGGTCGCGGCTGGGGCCGGGGGGGGGGGGGGGAGGCGGGGATCGGCGGGAACCGGGCGCGGGCGATGACGCCGGCCCCGGGGGAGCGGCCGGTGCCGGTGCCCGCTGACCGCTGCGCTCCCCCCGCAGTGTGACTTCTCGGAGGAGCAGACCGCGGGTGAGTGACCGGTACCGAGGCACCGGGCACGGCCCCCCCCCCCCCCCCCGACACCACCCCCCCCCAGCACCGGCCCCGGCGCTTCCTGCGCGGCCGCTGGCGGAGCCTTTCCCGGAGCAAAGTCCGGCCCGGGCGGGGCCGTTGGTGCCGGCGGGGCGGGGGGGGGGTGCGGGATCGGGCCCGGGGGATGCCGGGGGGGGGGCGCGGGGCGGGGAGGGCGCGGGCCCCTCTTGCGCCATTTGCCCTTATATGGGCATAGCGCGGGGCCGGGCCGCGCATTCCTGCGGGGTGGGGCCGCCCCGGTTCCCGCCGGGGGGGGGCGGGAGCGACCGGACGCGCTTCGGGGCGGAGGGGGCGGCGGCGGGGGGGGGTGCAGCATCCCGGCTGGGGGCCGCGACCTCCATCCCCAGCCGGCGTCGGGTTCCACCGGGAAACCGGATCCCGTCGGGGAACGAAACCCGACCCGGGGGGGGTGGGGTGGGGTGGGGGGGTGGGGGGGGCGGAGCCTTCAGAGTCCCGGTGGGGGGGACACACACAGGTAACGGGGTCCCCGAGATGCAGGGCCCGAGGGGGTCCCGTGAGCGTGTGTGGATGCAGCATCCCTCGGGGTGGGGCGTGCTGGGGGGGTCCCGGTGCTGACGCGGGGGGGGGGGTCCGGCAGAGTTCAAGGAGGCGTTCCAGCTCTTCGACCGCACCGGGGACGGGAAGATCCTGTACAGCCAGTGCGGGGACGTGATGCGGGCGCTGGGCCAGAACCCCACCAACGCTGAGGTCATGAAGGTGCTGGGCAACCCCAAGATCGATGGTGAGTGGGGGACCCCCTTGTGCCCCTCCCAGACTCCCCCCGGCCCCCCCCCCCCCCCCACGGCCCCCACCCACGGCCGCTGTCCCGCAGAGATGAACCTGAAGACGCTGAGCTTCGAGCAGTTCCTGCCCATGATGCAAACCATCGCCAAGAACAAGGACCAGGGCTGCTTCGAGGACTACGTGGAGGGGCTGCGGGTCTTCGACAAAGAGGGCAACGGCACCGTCATGGGGGCCGAGATCCGCCACGTCCTCGTCACCCTGGGTGAGCGTCACCCCCTCCCTGGCCCCCCCCCCCCCCCCCCCCCCCCCCGAATCCCTGCAAGCCATTGGGGACCCCTCGGCCATCCCTGAGACCCCCAAACCCCAGCCAGCCCCAGGGATCCCAGGAGCCTCACAAGCCCCCCGCCAGCCCCAGGGACACCCACCCCCCCCCAGGTCCCCAAGCCCCGGAGCCCCCCGGTGTGTGTGTGTGTCCCCCCCCAGCACCCCGGGGTGACGTGTGCTGTCCCACAGGTGAGAAGATGACGGAGGAGGAGGTGGAGCAGCTGGTGGCCGGGCATGAGGACAGCAACGGCTGCATCAACTACGAAGGTGAGAGCTGGGGGGGCCGGGGGGTCCCGGGGCGGGGGTTCCCAGGGTGCTGGGGGGGGGTCCCAGGGTGCTGGGGGTCCCGGGGGCCCGGCCATGGCCCCGCTCCCTCCCTGACCATCATGTCTCCTTCCTTCCTCCCAGCGTTTGTGAGACACATCTTGTCAGGGTGACGCCGCAGGGGTACGCCTCCCCCCCCCCCCCCGCTCCCCTCAGTTACTTACAGTGGTTGTTTTTTTTTTTCCTTCCTATTTTTTTCAGTGGTGTCTTTTTTTTTTTTTTTTTTTAAAAAAAAAAAAAAAAAAGAAAAAAAAAAAAAAGGCCGCCTGGTTTGCGCTCTCGCCCTTGGTGCAGCCCCCCCTTCTTCCCCCCCACCCCGCATGCCCCTCTGCATGGAGCCCCCCTGCGTGCTGGGGCCGGGACGTGGGTGCTGGTGAGGGTGGGGGGCCGGAGGAGCCCCCCGGCAGCGAGGGCCGCGCCGTCGGGCCGGGGCTGCAGCGACGCCGGTTCCTCCCTGCGCTCTTCAGCCGTTTGACTTTGGGTTTTTTTTCCTGCCTTTCTCCGGGACAGGGGCTGGGGGGGCCCGGCAGCCCCCCCCTCACTCTGCTCTCCCCCTTCTCTCCCCAGAGCTGGTCCGGATGGTGCTGAGCGGCTGAAGACCCCTCGTGTCATCGTGTGTGTGTCCCTGTTCCCCACCACCACCCCCCCATCACTCTGGGTTTTGTGCCTTTTCCCTCATTTTCCTGCCCCTGTCACCAAGCCCCCCCCACAGACCCGCCCCCCCCCCCCCCCCCCCCCGCCGCTGGCCCCACCGGCTAAGTTATTGCTCCACGGCAACCAATAAAGTTGGAATAGTGACACAGGGCCTGTGAACCTCTGTCCCCACATCGTGTGTCCATCCCCCCCCCTCCCCCCCCCCAGACAAACCCTGCACCTTGAGGCTGTTTCTTCCCGCCCCGGGGACTTGGAATTTTATTTTTGTTGTTTTTTTTTTTAAAAAACAAAACAAAACAAAACAAACCCAAAACAGAAGGGGAGATGACAACTGAGAGGGAGCTGGGGGGGTCTGGGGTGGGGGGGGGAAATGCCCATGTGCCAGGTGGGATTGGAGCTGTCTCATAAATAGCCGGGGGGGGAGCAGGGTCCCCGGCCTGCCCGGGGAGACCAACACTTAAATAAAATCCGGGACACTCATAAAAAAATACCAAAGCTGAGGGGTTCGGGGAGGGGGGGCTTCCTTTGGGGCGCCTCGCGGGGTCGGGGGGGGCCGGTCTCCCCGGGCCGGTGCTGGCGGCGGGGTCGGGGGGGCTGCGGCATCCTCGGCCCTGGCGGGGGCTCACTGCGTGGGGGGGACAGGGGTGGCCGTGCTGGGGCTGGGCGCGATGGGGTCCGTCTGCAGGGGGGGGCCTTGGTCTGCAGGGAGAGAAAAGAAAGGGAGCGGGGGGGGGGGGGGGGGAGGGCGTCACATCTGGGGGGGGCAAGGGGGTGCACGAGCACCTCTTGCCCCACAGTTCCCGGGAAGGGTTCAGCCCCCCCCCCCCCCGCCTCTTCCAGCCCCATGGCCGCGAGTGGGTCCCCCCCTTCCCTGAGCCGCTCTCCCCCTGGGTTCCCCCGCTCCCTGTCCCCAGTGGGGGGGCCCCCCATGTCTCCACGCGTTCCCCCACACCCCCACACCCCCCCCCCCCCACCTTGTGCCATGTCTCACCTGCGAGGAGGCCGGGGTTGGGAAGGAGGCTTCCCTGCACGGCGGCCACGATGGCGGGGCTGTGCGCGGCGGCCGAGCCCCCCGCGAGGTGCGGCAGGGCCAGGCCCGGCGGGTGAGGGGGGGGGGGCAGCCCCCCGGACGGCATGCTGCTGGCGAGGGCCCCATGCAGCGGGAGGGCGGGGGGGTTAGCGGGGAAAGTGGCGCCGAGGGGCTCGGCGGGGGGGTTAGCCATGCTAAATGGGATGGCGGATGGAGGCAATCCGAAGGGCAGGGCCGCGGGCGCATTACCGGGCACGGCGGGGTGGCCGCTGCCACCGAGGCTCCCAGCCAGGCTCTGGGACGGCGGCTGCTGCCCGGGGAACGGCGCCGGGGCTGCGGGAAGGGGGGGGGAGCCGCGGCGGGGGGGGGGGGGGGGGGTGTCACTGATGAGACACCCCCCTCCCTCCACTCCGCAGCCCTGCCCCGTTCCCAGCCAGCTTCCCCCCCCTGCCCTCCACTCACCGTGCGGGACGGCCGGGGCGCCCGGCGGCGGGGGCGGCTGCGGCGGGGGGGCCCCGGGCAACGGCTGCCCCACGGGCTCGGCGGGGGCCACCATGGCGGGGGCGGGCGGCGCGGCCAGCGGGTGGGCGGCGGGGGCCAGGGGGGCACCGGCGGCGGGCAGGGGCTGGGCCCCCGGGGGCAGCGGGGGCGGCTGCTGCTGCTGCTGCTGCTGGAGGTGCTGGAAGTGCTGCTGGCGGGCGCGCATCTCGGCGTACTTCAGCTGCTCCATGTGGAAGGCCTGCCGGTCTGCCAGCAGCTGCTGCCGCTGGTACTCCAGCTGGGGAGGGGCGGGGGTGGTCAGCAGGGGATGATGGAGATGGGGGGGGGGTGGGGGGTGTCCCCCCCCATTGCCAACCCCAGCGCCACCACCCTCACTCACGGCCTCGCGCTCCCGGTCCATGATGGTCTCCAGCTCCTCGAAGTGCCGCAGTTTGATCTCCAGCTTCTTCATCTGCGTCTCCACCAGCAGCGCCACCAGCGACTTGATCTTACGCTCCTCCACTGCCGCTAAGTGCTGGGGAGGGGGGGAAAATTAACCAAGGGGGGGGGTTGGGGGGGGTGTCAGCACCACCCCAGGCTGCAAACCACACACCCCCCCTCAAGCCCCGACCCCAGCCCCTCACCTTGGCCTTCACGGCGGCAGCAGCCAGGGCGGCGGCGGCGGCGGTGGAGAGGTTCCCCTCGCCGATGTCCCGCTCCACCTTGGCCTTGCGCTCGGCTTCAGGCTCCGGGGGCTCCTTGGGCGCCTCGTCCGGCCCCTCCTTCGCCTCCTTCTCCTTCTCCGGCTCCCCTGCGGCGGGGGGGGGGGGGTTGTGTCAGCAGGGCAGGGCTGTGAGGGACTCGGGGGTGGGGGGTGTGTGTGTGTGTCCATCCCCACAAGCGCAGCCAGGCCCCCCACTCACCTGCGCCATCGCCATCCCCCTTGTCGGGCTCCTTCTCGCCCTCCGCCTCCTTCCCCTTCTCCTCCTCCTTTTTGGGGGCCTCCCCGGGCTTCTCCTTCCCCTCCTCCTCGGTGGCGCCATCCCGGGGCTCCTGGGGAGGGACCGGCCCCGTGGCCGCTTGAGTCCCTGCGCCAGCCGGGCCTCCCCCCCGCACCCCCTCCCCAGGCCAGCCGCTACCTTCGCCTCCTTCTTCTCCTCCGCCGGCTGCGCCTCCGCCCGCGCCTCCTCCGTGCCGCTCTCCTCTGGGGACGCAAGCGCAGGGTCAGGGCCCCGCTGCCGCCCGGCCCAGGCCCGGCAAACTCATCACACGGATGCCGCCTCACCGATGCGCTCCGGCTCGTCCGAGGTGGTGCCGGCGATGCCGCTGCTCTCCAGCCCGAACGCGGGGTCGGCCTTGCCCGTCACCTTGGCCGCCTCCTCCACTTTGCGGACGTGGGCCTCCACCAAGGCCGTGGGCACCTCCTCCTTCATCTTGGAGAACTCCTCTGTGGGGCAGCGCCGTGGGCCCTCAGTGGGGCTGGCCGTGGGGCTGGCAGCGGGGTCCCCATCGCCCCACGGAGCCAGCCCTGGGCCTCAGCGCTTGTCTCTCCCTGGGGGCTGGTCCCCCCGGCTCCTGGGGCTCAGACTGTCTCCCCCCAGGACTTGTCCTCCCTCCCTACAGCCCTCCCAACAGGACTCAGCCCATCGCCCCATAGGCCTCATCCTGCCTCCCTATAGAGCTCCCTATAGGATGCCTCCCATCTCCCCGCAGGACTCAGCCTAGCTCACCCTACGCCTCATCTTGTCTCTCTGTAGGACTCATCCCATCCTGCTATAGGACTCAGCTCCCTACAGCATTTGTCCTGGCCCCCCCCATAGGACTTATCTCCCCATAAGACTCCTGCTGTCTCCCTACAGAACTCCCTATAGGACTCATCCTATCTCTCCATAAGACTCGCCCTATCTCCCTGTAGGACTCCCCATAGGACTCAGCCCATCCTCCTACAGGACTCATCTCCCTATAGGATGCATTCTGTCTCCCTGTAGGACTTGTCCTGTCTTCCCAGAGCACTTATCTTCCTATAAGACTTGTCCTGTCTCCTTATAGGATTCATCTCCCTACAGGACCCATCCTGCCTCCCCCTAGGACTTACCCACCTCCCCATAAGACTCGTCCTGTCTCCCTATGGAACTCCCTATAGGGCCCAACCCACCTCTGCACAGGACTCCTCCCACCTGCCTATAGGACTCATCCTATCTCCCCATAAGACTTGTTCTATCTCCCTGTAGGACTCATCCCATCCTCCTATAGGACTTTTCCTGTCTCCCTATAGGATTTACCTGTCTCCCATAAGATCTGTTCTATCTCCCTGAAGGACTCCCCCCACCCTCCTATAGGACTTGTCTCTCTACAGGACTCATCCTGTCTCCCCACAGGACTTACCCGTCTCTGCATAAGATTCGTCCCATCTCTCTATAGATCTCCCTATAGGACTCCCCCCCCTCTCCTACAGGCCCCCCCCCCAGGGCTCGCCCTCTCCCCCGTCCCCCACCGGGGCAGCCCCCCACCCCGTCCCCGGGGCCGCCTTACCCAGCGCCGACTTGGCGGCGGCAGAGGCGACGCGGGGGTCGACGACGGAGGCCAGGAAGGCCACGGTGCTCATGACGGGGTTGCCCGACTGGCTGAAGGGGATGGGCTGGTAGGCCAGCGGCCCCAGCGACGCCTCCGAGTCCTCCAGGTACGGGTCCTCGATGGGCAGCCGCAGGAAGTGCAGGATGCACTCGTCCTGCGTCCGGCTGCCCACGTGCTCCGACACCTTGTTCCAGTCGTCCTTGTACATCTCCAGGGCCTGCGGGATGGAGGGGGGGGGGGGGGAACGACACAGCAGGCGTCTGACCGTGTCCCCCCTCCCCTCCCCACACTCCCTGCGGACCCCCCCCTCACCTCCAGCAGCAGCAGCGTCTCCTGCTCCGTCCACTCCCGCGTGGCGCTGGCGGCGGCTTTGCTCTGCGGGGATGGGGGGGAGAGGGGTGAGCGGCGGCGGGCAGGGGACCGGGGCCGGGGCCGGGGGGTGCCCACCTTGGAGGGGACGTTCTTCTTGGTGTACATGTCGGTGCGGAGGCCGAAGTTCTGCATGTCGGCCGGCTTCTCCTTGCTCTTGTCGGGGAAGTTCAGCATCTGCTGCGAGGCCGAGGTCTGCTGCCAGGGGAGGAGAGGGGACGCTGGGGACCCGGCCGCGGGGGACGGGCCGCGAGGACGCCGCTCCCCAACCCCGACCCCGAGAAGCCTTCGTGCCCCGTCTCGTCACGGTGTCCCCCCCGCGTCCCTGCTCCCCGGGTCAGGGCGGCATGCGGGGCGCGAGGGGGAGGAGGGAAGGAGCCTTCCTCGGCCAGCGGCGGGGGGACGGACCCCAAGGAGCCGCCTACCAGCTCCGGCTTCCCCTTCACCGTCTCGGTGACGAGGTCTTCGATCTCTTTGCTCTTGCGGCCCGTCTTGGCGTCGCCGTCGCTCTGCCGGCCCTGAGGCACGGATCGAAGCTGTGCGATCCCCCCCCCCCAAAACCCCCCACCCCCACCCTCCACACCCCCCACCCCCACCCCACGCCCGGCCCCCGCGGGGACCGGGGGGACGGCAAGAGGGGGGACGCGGCTGGGCGAGGAGCGGCCGCCCCCCCTCGCACCCACCTGGGGCG